CAAATGTATAGAAAGTACAAGTACCCACGTACCTAACGGTGGATTGGTACCTGGGTGCATGTTGAGTAAGCATATGAACAAGTAGCAATAAGATAAACCGAAGACGGCACGTAAGAGTGTTTTAATATTAAGTTAGATATAAGCAATGTCATGCAGGTCGTAACCAAGGTTGCGTCAAACACGTCGAAGCCAACGTAAACTAAGCATACACATAAGTATAGTACCTTAAGGCATATGTATACGTATGAAACATGTTGGCAAGAGGACAAGCGAGCGAGACTCCGACTATAAAAGAGCAGCTCATCACACAGAATCTTTCAATTCGTGTCATAGCGCCTAAAGTAAGTGCGTACGGGCAGCTTACAAGTGACCTTTATGAAGAGTTATTTTGACCATTACGGATAGGGGATGGCAGGTGTAGCTTCGGTTCCTTTTTCTTGTAATGTCCCGCGACATTGAAAACAAAACGAAAAAAAAGAGAAAGCTCTAACTACGTGTGTGGAAAACAAAACGGTAATAGCGCGACAAAGTCGGGTCACCTCGCTGGTTCCTTTCCTGGCCAGTCTCTACACAACGCTGTACTCCTCTTAATACAAAATAAAGGAAATTTTAAACCATCCCCCGAAGGTCCAGATCATTTCATTCTAAATAAATTTTCTTGCAACGAACCCCGGATTGACTGAGTTCCACCTCGGTTAAGAAGACTCGTTACAAGTTATTGCATTACAACAAGTACATGCCAGAGTTAGCATAGTGTGTGCGAGTTAACAGAAGGAAAGAAAGTATGTTAGTTTAAAACAATTTTAAAAACAAATTAGTGAATGTATAAAAAACTATTAAAACTTTATCGCGTACACGTGTTGCTGATATCTAACGACAATTTAAAAAAATTTTTATTATTTGGAGAGCAATGCAAGCATTGTTCCCTTTGAAGTACACGTATTTTCAAAAAAGGTGAGAAAATTGTATTCAGTCGTGACCGAATCTTTTATTCCTGCCACTGTTATCCTAAAACCGACCAAAAGAAAAAGGAAAAGAACTAAATTTCCAGATTCTGCTATAGTGAGTGAGTGCGGCTGATTTTCCCTATTTTCACAGTTTATATGGCGTCTGTGTTGTACTTTATGAGTAATAAGTAAAAAACGCGGAAAGCAAAAATGTTCACAATTTTTGTTACATAGGCAAAGTATTGTTCATTTTAAAATTCTTTTGCAAGTTTGTTCGCGATATCTGCGCATGTTTACCACAGTTACTACACAGTTGGACAGACGAGCATGTTTAGGTGCACTCTGAATTTGAAATTGTCCAAGAATTTATGTACTTTATAGGGTTTCTGGAGCTTTTGGGAAAAAAATGAATTTATAACACAGTACACAATTGACCAGGCGTGGTCGATTTTGTCTTTTTTTTTTCAAGTATTACAGCTTCGCCAATAGAACATACGTTAACATTTTTGTAGATTTATCTGCTGTAGTCCGTGAGAAATGAGGATAAGAGCTATTTGTTATTTCTTTTGAAAAACAGAGATGTTCGCGATTTATGTAGCACTGTAGGCTGTGTGTGTCATGTGTGTCATGTCCAATGTTTGCGCAAAATTTGAAATTTATAGTTTCATTTTTGCGGCCAGAGGAGAACATTAAAAACAGACATTGTAAAGACCGACAGACCAACTGATGGACATGTTCAAATTAATACAGAATTTGATGTTTGTCACGAATATATATACTTTATGGATTCTATGAGGCTCCCTTTTGGGCGTTGCGAACGTTTTGACAAAAAAAATATACCACTCCATACTCCAATCCTGCCGTAGTGGGTATAAAAAGAAGACCGAGAACGACGACTATCGCTATTTTCTTAAACATATAGAGAGATGTATTGATTCTTATGAACTCTTTTCGCCCTTCAAGTTACATGCAAATGAATAAATTACGTTTGTGGTGACTGTAAAGAAAATTTCCTTACAAACTGAAGGAATTCTGATTTTTGTCTTCAAAAATTTTAAATTGTCTTAAAAGGTTTTAGGTGGATTTTGAAATTTTAAATTAACGAGTTTTTTTTTTTCTTTGTCTCATTATACAACATGTCAAGAATACTTTTTCACGGTTTCAACTTCTTCTAGAAGAGAGAGAGCTTTTGCCACTACGTAAGACGTGTAGTTCGTTGTTCGCAAAATTTATTTTTGAAGCCGGTGGACACGATTTCCTTCTTCTAGAGAGATAATGCATTATCAAATGACAACATTTTCATTTTTGATTGACCAAACCCCATCTTACAAAGCATTATATTGTGGAAGTTTTAACCGAAAACCGCACTTTCCTTTTCGAAATAACCCAAACAAAAATTTGAGTTTCAATCATTTTTAAAATCCCTCGTTCACGTACTTACTAAGAGAAACAATTTAGTTTAATGATATCAAATAAAGCTGTCACGAATCCTTCACGTCATCACGTCCTTCGCGAAAACGACTAAAAGTTTCTTTTATTTCATTTTAAAAAAATTCAGAAACTAAGCTATGTTTTCTTTCAAAACCCATGTAACTCCTTAAGAGACACAACGATCGTCGAACAGTCAGTTATAAGAAATTGACAATGAAGACCTAAGGTATAAATCAGTATAAATCAGATTTACTCCTAGCACAGGACACCATGATTTCTCTATAGCATTCATTCCTACATTATTAAGACAAAGAGAAGGAAAAAGAGAGAGAAAGAGAGCGCAGGAGTTTACAAAAAGACTAATATGAAAATTCTGCTCGACATTCTGGCCACATTTCAAATATCAGAAACAGATCTCTTTCCTAGTTATGTTCAGAAAGATTTGCAAGATTTTGAAAGTTAATCATCTGTTTAGATGAGAAGATTTTCATCCCAAAAACGCTGCAATTAAACAAAATTGTTGTTGTACCCTATACCACTTGTGAGGCAAATGCATATTAAGTTTGTACGTATGTATGCAACCCACAACCGATTTGAGATAGACACACCTCTTATTATGCCGATCGTCACTGAATCATTTTTTGAATCGATCTAAGTTTGGGTGCCCGTCTATCCACTTTTGTTTTTTTTTTTTTTGATTCAACCTACAGGTCACAACATCTGCAAATATTCTGATGTGTACACCGACATCTCCTTACCGATGGACGAACGCTATTGAAAATGATTCGAATCGAGCAGTTTTCGATCACTTTCCACGTCACGGCTTATTTTCGAAAGTAGTTATACAAATAGCGGCGTTAAGTAAAGTGATGTAGGGTGTAGGAATGGTGGGCCGCGGTAAATTTTTTGTTTTACTTGCCGTTAGTTTCATATAGAAAACTAAATTGACTTAGAATCTTTTGTGGCGTATATGTATATAATATTACAAGAAGAAGAAGAATTTTAGTAAGGAGTGGCTTACTGTTCTTTCAAAAATGCCATCCTGTGGGCTGTCGTTTTCAAAAAAAGGTCGGGCAATGGTAAGTGCCTTAAGTACTTTAAAACGCTTTGTTTAATGCAATTATTAATTATTGTTGTATATTTCTCATTAAATAACTAGTAATTTGTTGCCTTATAAGGTTTCACTTTGTTGGCAACTCTTATGTTGCTAACAAAAGCGGTGGTTTCTACTTTTATGCCATAGCATTGGTCTCAATCAACTTTCTTCAGATAATACCAAAAAGTGTATTTTCATGCGTGACACTTGCAAATGGATCTTTATAAGGGAGATGATCGTTTCCCTTAATGTGATCGCATCCTTTTAAAATTCATTTATTATGACAATTAACTCGTTTTCACCGAATTCCATTCAGATATTATATATTATCAATTGGCAATTTCTTCCATATATATATTATATTTTTTTTACTTATTTACTTACACATGAAACTCACTTAAAATAAATTAACAATCGTAGTAAACCTTATACTAATTATTGCCTGAAAACCAACACAGAGTGTATAAGGAGAAGTAAAGGAAAAATAAAATTACGATTCACCTATAAATAAATAAGAAAGACAAAAAGCATATACACAACTAGCACAGAAGCACACCCGCAACCGGTACCGATCCAAGCTGCAAGTGAACCCCTAAACCATCGCAAACATGCAAAGGCTTACATGGAAAACCGATAATAGTAAACAAGGGCAGTTAATTTTCGAATCATAGCGAGATGTAAAGATTGCAAGTTAGTTTAAATACGCCATCGAGGCAAATCGCGTGTATTAAGTATTGTTGTTTTGATAGACTTTAGAGAGTCCGATGTTGAGATTGATAGACATTATTTAGGTTTTTGCAAACAACTTCAAACAGCTCATAAATGTATTTTCATTCACTAAGCTTAATGAAGGTAAAGTGCCTGGAGAACCGATTAGGAACACTAAAGTTTATCTCACCAAGTAGTGTGGGCGTGGAAACACAAAGAATAATTCTACGTTTCTCGAGTGATGGTAAGGATAACAAAAGCAATTTATTATCATAAAAAGGCAGAGAGACAAGGAGGTCCCAAACCAAAATTCCTAAGGGCAAACAACAACAATTGCTTTTGAATAATTTCAATTGAATCTGCATGACACCTACAGGAGGAAGGAGATAGCACAACAGAGGCATACTCAAGTATTAGTCTAACTACGCATGTATAGCCTTTTTATAGCGTAGGCTTAAATAAATGGGGCACTAATTGGTCGCCTTGAGGTACGCCAGACTTCATACGAAATTCATCCGAGGTAATGAAGTTAAACAGAACTCTGAATAATCTATCATGCAGATAAGAGCTTATCCATTTGACTAAGTACAAAGCGAAGCCAGAAACCTGGAGTTTGAAGATCAATAAATTATTGTTAACTAAGTCCAACGCTTTACTAAAATCATTATATACGACATCCGTGCGAGAACCACTAGATAATGCCTTACAAAGCTTGTCAAGTTTATTCTAAGCGGTTCGTAATAGTAGATCTTCCTATAAGAAACCCATGCTGGATTAGAGAAATATAAGATTTGATAGCAACACCTAAATGTTGAGCAACCATCGCTATAATGAGATGCCAAAATTGTTTATAAAAGTTCAAATTGTCTTTTGCTAACGTTTAGTCGTTTAACGTATTTCATATAAGATAAAAGTTTCCTCACTTTAATAACTGGGTTATATTGTGTTTGTTAAAAGTTCACGCATACAATTCATTATGGATACAATTTTTTCAATGATTATGCTAATGGGTGTAGCTGTCGTAAGTGATTGAAAAAATACACAAAACATAAAGAAAAAAAACAAATATTATTTTAAAATACTCAAGTTACTTACTGCATTTTAAAACAAAAATAAATATATATATAGATATATGTACATATACAAGAAAGTATGTTAAGTTCAAATGTGCAAATTTTTTTTCAATACTAAAATCTTTGATTTGAAGTTTACAGTTTCGTCAAAGCCTCAAGGTTACCAATTTCTTACGTCCAATGTCAAGAGGCCTGCAAGCACTCAAACAACAAGACGAATCGATGATATTCACAATTCCCCTGTGTTTTCGACTGCATCGCATTATCTGCCCCCACCAGGCCAGATTGGAGAAAGTTTCGATACGCAAGAGCAATATCAGACGCTGGGGAATCAACCGACTATAACAAAGGATATTTATTTACATTTTGCACCAGAATATCCACATGAGCAAAAATTGCATTCAGATTCGACGGTGCCAAGAAAGCATTATCGCATTATATTTATTAAAAGTCCCGTAACCGGTTTAAGCGAAGAGGCTGCGCGCTTCAAAGATGCTGCTAAACAAGAGAAAACAATTATTTATGTGTTGAATCGAAAACATGATCCCGTCGAATTTCAGACGGCCATAGAAGAAGCCGTCAATAAGGAGTTCACTAAACCGGAGGTTTTCTTTATCAAATACAGTACTCCCGAAGAAGCTGAAAGAGCGCAGCATGCCATTCAAGGTTTGTGAGTTGTGTCATTCAAATTTACATAATAAATCTTTGCATTTATTAAAGTAATATATCAACAACAACAACTATATAAATAATATAAACTCTTAAAAATTTTTTTAAAGTCATTAATTTAAAATTATAATTTGCGTCCGTCCATAGCTGAATACGAGAAACTTGGTGGCAGCACCCGAATTTCTGACGAAATCGTTGCACCCGTTGTTAACGTTTTGGAGGATCCGTCAGTTTCAACAATCACTTCTTCTGATAAACGTTAAGCCTGGCTTGACCAACTCAAGGATGAAGTAAGAGAGAATCATTCTAAATATCTAAAATTTGAACTCAATTTTGTAGAGCTTCATAATCTTTAAGACTTTGTACCGCCATCTTTGAAACTAATTTTCGGATAGTTGGTCGGATAACTACCTATCTATCTATTCTATCTTTAAATATAAATGTCTTTCATATGCATGTCTTGCTATATAATATTGATGAGAATACAAAAATCGAAACATGAATCCACAACGAGCTTTACATCAACGCGTTTAATAAGGGGTGAGTAAGTGTTATTGAATGGGGAAAGTATAACCAATAAGTTCAAAATTATATTCTTGTAGAGAAATTCTACGTTCCGTGCAATTGAAGGACCAAATGATACCAATAGCTAACCTCAAGGGCAATAGAAAAAAATTATTTGGATGGTTTGTGCGCATGCAACTGTGTTATGGAGCATTCATTCCGACTAGCGAAATATGTTTCCTTAGCAGAGATTTCCTTTTTGGGCATTCAACGCAGTAAAGCACGCCTCACCAAACTAAATGTATTTTTACTTTATATGGACTACGTGCTTAGTATTTATAAAAGTAAAAGAATTTTTTTTTACGCGTGTTTCTAACGTTTAATAATCAAATCAAAATCTGTTTTTCTTTTATTAAAATGTGAAATGTGAATTAATTTAATATTTAGTGAATTAAATTTAGTATAAAGTTAATAGAAAAATTATTTCTATCTTATGTTTTCAAAACATATGCTTATTCAAGCTCATTAACTAATTAATAATTTTATCTCATCATTTTGTAACTAGAGGATTAATTAAAAAGTAAGAGAAATAAATTACTGTTAAAATTTGACCCACTAATACATAAGGGTCGGGCACCAATTCACGTTAATAAAATAGCAATTATAGTAATTGATCAAAATATAAGTTGATTAATTGGATAAAATTGAATACCTCGAAAATTTCTTAAATGATAAAATGGTAAGATAGTTGGGATGGCAATAGATAAAACTAATGCAATTACTCCTCCTAGTTTATTAGGAATGGAACGTAAAATAGCATACGCAAATAAAAAATATCATTCAGGTTGGATATGAGGAGGTGTTACTAAGGGATTTGCAGGTATAAAATTATCAGGATCACCTAGAAGATAAGGGTTTATTAAAACTAATATTATTAAAATTAATAATATAATAATAAATCCAACAATATCTTTATAAGTAAAATAAGGATGAAATGGGATTTTATCAACATTTGAATTTAATCCAGTAGGGTTATTAGATCCAGTTTCATGTAAAAATATTAAATGAACTATTGTTATAGCTAAAACAATAAAAGGTAAAATAAAATGAAAAGTGAAAAATCGGGTAAGAGTTGCGTTATCTACTGCGAAACCTCCTCATACTCATTGAACTAAGTCATGACCAAGATAAGGAATAGCTGAAAGTAAATTAGTAATTACAGTTGCTCCTCAAAATGATATTTGTCCTCAAGGTAGTACATATCCTATAAAGGCAGTAGCTATTACTAAAAATAAAATGTGAACTCCTAATATACTAATAGCTAATAACTATGCTATGTTGTCTGCTTACGAGAAACTGCTTGACCCTAAGTATACGAATTTGGTATTTTGCAAGAAAGAAAGGGAATTTAATAGCCAATATTTACGTTTGTCGGGGTCAATCTCCGTCGGAGTAGCATTCTTAACGAGAGAGGAAGAGAGGGAAAAAGAGACAGGGAGAGACTAAGAAGCAGAGATAACTAAGTAATAAGACGTCCCAAAACTTTGTTTAAAGCAAGGAAGAACATTGTAAGGAAGTGTTTTACTTCCTTACTAACAACAAACCCGTCCGCCGAGTATACCCATCGTCCGCAACCAGTCAGTCCGATCTGTCTGCGTACGTCTTTTGTCACCAACGCATGAGGAACCTCCTCCAGCGAAATATATAAACACCCGCATAAGGGTAAATTAGATATAAGATCGCTAGAATAAATAAAACATGTATGAAACGGCGCAAAAGCATAGAACATGTAAAATATGTAACACAGGCACAAGTAGAGTAGGTATAAAATCGTACGACACATGTTAAAATATATAAACACTCGCACAAGTATAAAAATACCTGAAACTGTATAAACACACTGTAGAAACGCATACATATTATGCATTACTGTATAAACCCCGTTAGGTCATATACGCATGTAGAAACCCTTATGGTTTACAATGCATAAGCTTACACGCTCATGCAAACGCATATACCAAAGAAATCACACATATAGCATTGTATATCACTGTTAGGCTACAGCAACATACAGAAGCTGTATGCCTTAAATTGTATAAACACACTATAGAAACGCATACATATTATACATTACTGTGTAAGTACTGTTAGGTCATATAATCAGGTAGAATCCCTTATGCATTACAATGCATACACGATCAAGCAAACCGCATAGACAAAAGAATCACACATAGCAATGCATATCAATATACAGAAACTCGTATGTGTAAAATGTGCGAACACACATACAACATTATACAAAATTTATAAACGCCGTCAAGCTATAGAAAATCTTTAACATGTATAGGCACACGCGATCATAAAACAAAAAAAAAGAAACAAAAAAAAAAAAAGAAAGCAAAAAGCGCATAACAGTGTAGGAGCAATGTATAAGCGCCGTTAGGCCATGCAACCTTATACATAGGTATAAACTCTAATGTGTAAAAAGATCTCTTTTTCTTTCTGTATGCTTCTCATCCTATGTGTACAATGCTTCGAGTAAGTTTCTATGGTTTTATATTTAGGTAGAATAATTGTATTTTCTGTTTCTCTGTGTTTCATGTTTATACGTGTGGGTTTATACATAATTGGCATGTGAGAGCCAGGTTGAAGAACAAGAAGATCGAACATAGATAGACGTTAGTTAGCAGTAAGCTACGTATAAGTATGTCATGCAAGTCGCAACTAAGGTTGCGACAGTAAACAACCTAAATTAAGCATACCACTACACATGTAAATGCATACAGCCGAGGACAGATTGCAACGGAACAAGCGAGCGAGACTCCGACTATAAAAGAGCGGCTCATCATACAGAATCTTTCATTTGTGTCACAGCCACCGAGGTAAGTGCACCCAAACAATTGAACAGGGGCCAGGTACAAAGAGGTTTTTTGTTTGACTTTACGGATAGGGGGTGGATTGGTTCAGTTTAATCGCCATCCCTGAACGACAGATAGGACTTCTGACTTTACGGATAGGGGATGGGTTGGTTAAGCTTAATCGCCATCCCGGAATGACATTTAGGACTTTTGTTTTTACGGATAGGCGATGGATTGGTTCAGCTTAATCGCCATCCCCGAATGACAGATAGGACCTTTGACTCTACGGATAGGGGGTGGATTGGTTCAGCTTAATCGCCACCCCTGAAGGACCGAAGAATATTTTTTTTTTTTTGTTTGTTTCATTGTTTGACGTAAACCAACTAGAGACGGTGAGAAATAATAAATAAAGGATTGACTGTGTTCCACCCCGGTTAAGAAGACTCGTTACAACATTATAGCCAGGCAAGACGGGCCATTAGACACCCCACACCACTTTCGTTTCGCTCGTTTACAATGGCAAGGAATTTTAGAAAAAGTTACTACTTAATGAGTTTTTGCGGCCAACCCAAGGAGTATTTCTTAATTTTTAAAAATATCTAAAGATTTGTGAATGCTTGACAGATTGATTAATTCCAACTTCTAATTGTTTTCTAATTTTAACCTCGACTCTTAACTGTATATACCCAATATTTTTTTTTACGTTCCTTAGGAAACCTTGCAAAAAAAAAAATAGTACAAAAAATACTTGCGACGTATGGTAAATCTGGGGACATGTTCCACAACTTTATTATTATTATTCCAAAAGCTCTGCAAAAAAAGTAATACTGAAGTCCATATTACGTATGCAAAGAACAAGAATTTTTATTACAGGAACACTTTAAAATTAGTATACAGCGAAAAGTCAGTCCTTAAGTACAACATATAAAAATTGAAAATGAAATAAAGAATAAAAATCAATTTCGCAGCTATTCATCGCTACAAGATAATAAGTGTGCATATTTATTATGGACTCGATCAAAAATGCTATCATCCGTAGACATGTCAGATATGTCTCGCATGCTTTAGTAAAGCACTGTCAAAATTAGAATTTAAAAAAAAACCGTGTAAAAAAGTCTATCTGTTATTGATGAATCGAGCTATTTCGAACACACGTAAAAAGAGACCGTGTAAAAAAGAGTTGAATGCATAGTCGAGAGAAATTTCACTAATAAAAAGTATTAATAATAATAAATTTGTTTTATTATCGAATTATAAATAATTTATTGCATAAGCCATGACAAATTTTAATTTAATAAAAATTTAGCTAAAACATTTTTCTCAAAGCAATCAAAAGCCCCTAAATACAGGCTGTAAAAGTATTGTCGTATCTTACGTAGGAGATATTTGATTCACACTATTCGCTACATATTTTCCATGCATTCCACTTATTCCAATGACCACATTGTCAGTGTGAAGGCCATACTATCTTCTCAATCCATTCAATGTATTCAGAAACTCGGGTATAAACAGCGGGGACATTAAAACCACAAGGTTTACCGAACGAAGTTATACCTATCACATACGATCGTCTAATGCCATACTGATCGCTACTATGCAAAATTAAAGGACCGCCAGAATCACCCTGCAAACGATATTGTTTGTTCATTGCTCCGTTTTTTTTTGTTTTTTTTTTGATAGATTTATTTGATACCTGACAAGTGTCTCTTAAATTTTCGGGATCTTTAGCACAAATTTGTGTTTCCGTAATGCCTTGCGGGAGACTTTCTTCTGTTCTGTAATGTAAACCACATTCTCCGTT